TTTGCATTTTCTTGGGTCATTTGTTTGCATTTATGAAATGAGGAAACATGTGAATGTGATTTTGGTTACAAAATGACTATAGTTTATCTTGTGCTTGAATATGACCCAATGAGCATATATATTTGAGTATGTTAAGAGATTGTGTTAGATATGGAGAGAGATATTTTAGAAGCTTGTTTTGGATATGAAATTAATTTTTTTCATTATCCTTTAAACGCATACACACATATTTTTAAGTAATAATTTTAAAAAACGTATGGTTTTAGGAAAAATGACTGGTGCATATTTATACCACGTATATCTAAGTTGCTTTCCCACCATAAACAAAATTTAGTTTCGATATAAGTTAAAATAAAAACTTTTATAACGAGAAGAGAAAGAAAAAAGAAAAAAGAATTATGTAGAAAGATAAATATTATTTTTTATTATATGAAAAACAACAAACATATACGTACGTCATGGTGTCAGGCCTCGAAAAAAAAAAACGTGGCAGTTGGAGAGCGCGCCACCTCAGCGACGTACTTGGACGATAGCAGCGCCCGACAGCCACTAACGAGCGCTAACTGTTGCACGTGGAGCTGAGTCAGGAACCGTAAGTGGAAACCACGTGGCGACCGCTGAATGGACGTCCAGCATGAGCTTTCGGGAATCAGGAGTGCAGAACGTGCACCTGCCAGTGTGTAACATGCGTCCAGCGTGGCTGAGTGGAAACGTGCGTTGGCTGAGTGGAGAAGTGCGCTGGACGGAGGTGGAAAGCAAATATGAGATTCTGAACTTATTCTCCACTTCCCCCTGTGTGTACCTCTTTGCTGCATGTCTGAGAACCAATTCTCTCCACCTTCTCTCTTCTTTTTCCCACCCTCTCTCTAAGTAAATCACCATTTCCCTCCTCCGTCCAGAATTCCGGTATCGTAGAAGGACGCTCGGCGTCAAGGACTTCCAGAGAAGAACGTTCGGTTAGTGAAGCTGTGTGGATAACGAGCGTTGGCGGTAGGAGAATTTGTAGTGGAGAATTGTAATTTGCGCGTCTGTGGACGTTCGTTCATTTCCCATGTAAGGAAAGCTTATTTGATTTAATTCATGTGGTGTGCTTTGTATGAACGTTCGTTATTTAGCTGCATGAAAATAATACATGATGTATGATATGAATGAATGATATGAGCGTTCGTTATTCAATTGTATGGGTATAATGCATGATATTTGGTGTGACTGAAGTACATGAACGTACGTTGATTTGGTGAAATGAAATATGTGAATTTACATGATGTGGATCGTATGAAAAATGAGAGTGTTTAATATGAACGAATGAAATTTTGAGATTTGCATGATAAGAAATGAATTGGAAATGAAAAGTGAGTATTTTCTATGAATATGAACGTTCGTACTGAACGGTCATTGACCGTTCGGTTTTCATTTGTTGAGGACGAGCGTCCTCGTGTCTAAAGGTCTGCTTGAGCGTTCGGCCAAGCACTATTGTATATGGTATTCTTGATAAACTCCCTTCTGTTGTATGCATATGTGAAAAAGTGTATGTTACCGTTCGTAAACGCTTCTTCAAAAGTCCCTTATTTATCAATTCTGTTACTTTAAGTTATTAAACGTTCGGTCTTACACCTCACGTTCGTACTTAGGAGTGTTCGGTCTTAAACCGAACGCTCGTTCTAAAATAGGTTCGGCTCATAACGAGCACTCGCTCAAAATGGTGTTCGGTCTTATACCGAACGCTCGCTCAAAATGGTGTTCGGTCTCATATCGAACGTTCGTCTTAATTGGTGTTCAGTCTTATACTGAAAGCTCGTTCTGTGTGGTGTTCAGTTCATAATGAGCGCTCGCTCAAAATGGTGTTCGCACTCGCTCAAATTGGTGCTCGGTCTCACACTGAGCATTCGTCCAAAATGGTGCTCGGATTGAACTGAGCGTTCGTCCCAGTGATGCTCGGTTTTGAACTGAGCGTTCGTCCAAAATGGTGCTCGATTTTGAACTGAGCGTTCGTCCAAATGGTGCTCGGTTTTGATTTGAGCGTTCGTCCTAAAGGGTGTTCGGTTTTATACTGAACGCTCGTCCTAATGGTGCTCGGTTTTGAACTGAGCGCTCGTCCTAAAATGGGGCTCGGTATTATACTGAGCGTTCGCTCTAAATGGTGTTCGGTTTTATTGAAATAGCGTACGTCCAACTTCAGATTTACCACGTTCGGTTATTGATTCACGAGCGTCCGTTCATTCAACTGATTTTCAAGGTAAATAACGTTCGTCCAAATGAACAGTATATTTTTCAGCCATTCCCGTACGTCATTGAAACTCTGCCGTTCGTACTCTAATTCGAACGAGCGTCTTTTTGGGTCTCGCTCACAGCGTTCGTCCTCGGTCTTATTGTTGACAGAACGTTCGTTTTTTATGGTTTCCCTATGAATGATGAAAATGATTATGGAATGATGAATAGTGAATGATGTACAGTATATGAAATGAAATGAAAGTATGAATATTGAACGAGCGTTCCGGGGAGGAATGACTCTTGGATGATTATGAGAATTTGTATAGTATGACCGTGGCCAGACTTAGCAGGCGATTCGATCCTGATATTCCGTGACTACTCGTCCTCACATAGAGGGGGTATGTCATGCGTGGGAATGGCAGGAGGTCCCCGTCACATAATAGTAATTTGGACGGAACCGTCACATAACAGTAATTTGGACGGAACCGTCACATAACAGTAATTTGGACGGAACGGACTAACCTCGGGTGGCAGCTGATGAGAGTGCCAGCTACTACACTACCCGGGTGCGCGAACGTCGTAGCTACACGGGAAATCATACAGTCCGGACAGTCAGTCGTGTATTGAGTTTTATGTTAAGCGTGCGTTGAAATGAGCATGTATGTTGAATTGTTTACTTGAATTTGTATGTTGATGCATGAGTTAAATTACATAAGCTTACCCTTTCGTTTTTCCTTGTGTTGTCTCGTTTTGTACGTCCGTCTTGTCGTTGTAATGATCATCCGTGTGGATGTGAGCAGAGGGAGACGAGCGTTTGGAAGAGACATTGAACGAAGAGAACCTGGTTGAAGTTGAAGTGAAGACCGAGCAGTGAGACGCTCGGCTAGTAGTGTAGGTTTGTGGCAGAGTGGTCGTTCGACCAACTTATGCTTTTATTTTGGTTATGTTCGACCGTTCGGTATTTTCGTGTGTAAACCGTTCGGTCAGGTTTTAATCGTACCTTCGGTTGTAATTTGTAATTCTTGTGAGGACGTGCGACTTTGCGCGTTCGTTCGGTTTTATTTTTAGTTGGAAAACTGTACTGTTTTTATTATTAACTGTGATTTTCTAATTATATGATTTATTACTGTATTTTTGGGATGTCACACATGGGATACATGAGGACGTACCGAAAAAATTGAGAAAACATTAAGTTACCTGATAGTTATGTAGAAATAATTATAAATTAATTTATGCGTAAACTAATTTTAAATAGAAAAAAATTATTTATTATAGAGAAGTGTATCTAAACAAAAGTACTGTTTCCATAACTGCGGTAATTTCACCAAACAACCACTTGATAAATCATTATCAAAACTCGGCGTGCTTTTTAAAAGTAGTTTTTAGAAATTTGTAATAAATTAAGTTAATATTTGCTTAATTATATAGAATGTGTTTAAATAGTTTATATTTTCTTATTAAAAAAAAGTCACACAATTAATAAAAATAAGAAAAAAAAAGTGAGGGACTAATATGCCCTTAAACTTTTTATCCCATTTTTATTTCATTTTTAATTTCTTTACTTTTTCTGATTACATCCTTTATCTCTCTCTGTAGCTCTCTCTCTTTCTTTTAATCTTTTCTGTCTCATTTCTTAGCTTTTATCATCATTATTATTATCTCATTATTATCAGTTATCATCAATTATACCTCTTCTTTATGTATGTTTTTCTTGTTTCTATTCACTCGAAGACCTGGAGAATGGAATGTGATTCATTCTAAGTTGACAATTCTTAGAAAATATAGATAAAGTTGTGAACCATCACTCTTATCACAACCACTCATTTTTTGCTTGTTGACGAAAAAGTTCACCAACCTTAATTCGAGGCCATCATTCAAAAATTATTCTTATTAATATTATTTCCATTGCACTGCACCCAATCACACCCATAAGCTTCACTTCAAATCTCACAGTTTCTTCATGGCAGCAGAGCAATGGTTACCGGTGCTCTTGTTCTACTTCCTCGAGAGGACTATGACACTTTGGCTTCCCGTTTTGCCCACATATTTCGTGCAAGAAAACACCGAAAGAAGCAACTCAGCCAGTTGAAGATGAAGCTCCTTCCCATTGATGTCGTGGCTTTTGATGCAGAACAAAGGCAGTTTACATATCCAGATGTCAGAAATTGGCTTCTCAGAGTTAAAGATGCTTTGTTTGATGCAGAGGATCTATTGGATGAAATAGATTATGAACTCTCTAAAAGCCAAGAGGAAGCTGAGTCTCAGAGTGCTTACTAAAAAGGTGTGGAATTCACTCAAACTTCTGTTGTCAATTTCTGTGAAAATGAAATGAATCCATGATGGAACAAGTATTGAAGACTAGAAAATCTGGCAAACGAAAGCAAAATTCTAGGTATTTGGAAAAGGGTGCTGGTGTGTGGGGTTTGGATCAGTATCGGGTAGTAAATTAGCACATACATCTTTGCCAAATGACAAGTGTTATCTATGGCAGAGTGATGACAAAGATTTGTCCTTAAACTGGCTCACATCGGACACTCACAAACAACCTTCTATACTTTCTATTGTGGACATGGGTGGGATGGGTTAAGACTCCTCTTGCCCACATGTATTCAACGACCCAAGGCTTAGACGAAGCTAACTTTTGATGTAAAGTTTGGGTCAGTGTTTCACAGGAAATTTGATGTTCTCAAAGTATCAAGAGCAATTCTTGACACAATAAATGGTTCCAACTGATCATATCATACAGCAGGAAGTAATTCAGAAAAGTCTAAAAGAAAAATTATGGAAAAGAAATTTCTTCTCGTTTTATGGATGATGTTGGAAACGAAAAGACCATCTAAAGTGTGGAGATGGTGCAGAAAAGCCCTAGTTTTCGGAGGCCAAGGCAGTAGAATTCTTGTCATGACGGTATACTTGGTGGATAGAAGTTTGGTTGCTGTTACATCGTCAAAGAAAAGCGCCTCGCGAGGTATTTAGAAAAAGGGTTTGGATTATTGTTGGGACGTGTTCGCCAAAGCAGAATTCGAAAATGTAATCCCCAACAGACTCAGACTCATAGAGATGGTAAAAAGATAGTTGAAAAATGTAATGGACTCCTTTAGCCTTAAAAACTATGGGAAGTCTATTAGTACAAATAAATCATCTCTTTGGAATGGAAAAAGTATTATGAAGAGTGAGATATGGGATTTTTCAGAAAATGAAAGTGATATACCCCTGCTTAAGACCTGAGATCTATTCCATTCCTTCTCATCTGAAGAAAGCTTTGCTTTTTGTGCACTTATTTCCCAAAAGGTTATTGGTGTTGACAGGAATCGTTAATTCACATTGTGGATGGCTGAAAAATTTCCTAGAAAACCCCTACAGAAAAAGAGTCTAAAGAAGTTGGTACAAGAATATTGCAATGATCTATATCTTGGTCCTTCTTTCAACAACAGTCAAGATTTGGAGGAAGAAAAATGTTTATAGCATGACCTTATAAATGATTGGCAAAATACGTCTGTGAAGACATATGCATCAGGGTAGAGTTGATGAACCGGAAAGGTATACCCAAAACAACCCGTCATTGTTCATTTTCAGGACTCAAGTTTGATGGGTTTGGGAGTTCGATTGAACTCAAAGTTGATACATTTATGCAAAATATAGGAATGGGTTGGGATAGGGGTTGGCGTTGCAAGATGTCCATAGAGACTTGTTTCCAGATAAGTTAATACGTGTTCTTATCTTGAATAATTGTGAGAGCCTTACGGAGGGGTGCCTAAATCTGTCAGGAAATCTTAAGCATCTTCGTTATTAAGATCTATCCAAGACTCAAATAAAAAAACTACCCGACTCAATAAGTTTACTCTACAAGTTGCAAAAAAATACTGGCCAGCTGAACTATTGTCGAATTATTAAAGGAGTTCCCCCATGTTTACAATCAACTCCACAATTTGCGCGTCTTGAATTATAGATATTGGAGTGAAAAATGTGGAGCATATTTGGGAAGAAAGCTGAAGAATGTTCAGTATCGATGCGTCAATTCAGGTTGGGGGAAAGTAGTAAAATCCAATTTTCAGCAATTAGGAAGAACTCGATCCTTCATGGAAAGGGACTAACAATTGATAATCGCAGAATATTGAAGAATCCCCTCCTGTGCATGGGAAAGTAGATTTGAAGAACAAAACCACACCTGTGGAAACTACGGTTAGAATGGAATTTCGTTGGCAGTCCTCTGTTGATTCAGGAAAAGCGAGGATGTAATGAGAAATCTACATCCTCCAAAATGTTTGAAGAAGTTGTCAATAAGGAACTATATTGGAAAACAATTTTCCAGATTGGTTACTTCATAATTCATTACCGAATATGGTTGTCCTTAAAGTTGGAGGGATGTGAATCTTGCCAACGTTTACCTACGCTGGACTTTTTCTTTTCTCAAGGACTTGAGGATTGCAAGACTTGATGGATAGTGAGTATTGATCTGAGTTCATGGAAACAATTTCTTCGTTAAAATCCCTTGAAACATTGTTATTTCTCGATATGAGCAATGGAAAAAGTGGAGACTGCCAGCCTGTGAAGGAAAGCTTTTCCATGTCTACGAGATTTTCAATAGAAATGTCCCAGCTTGAGAGTTGTCCATTTGTTCACATCGGGAGTCAATAAGTGATGACTGTGTCTCTCTAAGGATCTTTCCACTTGATTTCTTCCCAACAACACTCGAGATTCTTCAACTCAGTGGATTTCCTAATCTACAGACGATTTCACAGAATCATGTTCACAATCATCTCTTGCATCTGAAAATACAAGAGTGTCCTAAATTGGAATCATTGCCTGCAAACATGCATATGCTGCTTCCATCTCTCATAAGCCTAGACGATAGAAGAGTGTCAAAGACTGGAGTCGTTCTCTGAAGGAGGTTTGCCATTAAATCTAAAAGACATCACACTGATTAATTGCTTTAGACTGGTTGGTCACTCAAAAGGCTTTAGGAGACAGTCCTTCGTTAGAAGTTTAACGGTTGAAAAAGTAGGCGGAATGTTTTCCTGATGAAGGTTTGCTTCCACTCTGTCTTTCTAAACTAATAATAAAAGATTGTCCCAACCTCCAATGCTTACCAGAGGGTCTCTTAGAACTCTCATCTCTTCGATCACTGTGCCTTTATAAATGTCCCAACCTCCAATGCTTACCAGAGAAGGGTCTTCCCAAATCAATTTATTTCTTTATATAAACAGATGTCCTTTGCTGGCACAGCGATGCAACAAAGAAGGAGGCGAAGACTGGGAAAAGATTTCTGACATTCCACGTGTATTTATAAATGGTAAGAAATTTGTTTAATTATGTTTAATGGTAGGGATAGTTTAATAGTGGTGTATGAACTAGTTTTCCTGTTGGTAGTCCTTTCATGTAACAAATTACATTCATGGAAATTTTTTAACACTTATTAATGATGAAGGCCTCTTAGTCTTTATTCATTATTAGGTTAGACCAAATTATGATATAGCAGATCTATTTACTGTAAACTTAAAGTCTGTCTATCACTTTTATTTTAAACACTTAATTAAATGCAATAATGCTAAAGCCTAAATAAATTTTAAGTTCCTAATATTATTTTTGTAATGAAATACATAATAAATTGAGGGGTGTACAACTTAATCTCTCTTTGGCTTAGTGGCTACCCAGTCTATTTTTCAAACCAGGCTTTTAAACCTATTCTAATACTAAAAGACTACAACATTAATCTCTAACATCTATTGTACAACCCAAGGATTTGACCTTCAAAACCTCACATATTTTCCTCTCTTTCACCGATCTCAACAACATCAACTGCAAAATTACAATCATTTCAGACATAATATTATGTTGTATTCATAATATAACATAACATAATATATAGTAATTCTTATTACATAGCTACCACGGTAATTAGCTTCATTATATTAAGCAAATATAAATCATGATGGAATCCTCATAAAACATTACAATTTGCCTCCTGCTCAACATTTCTTTCATAAAAGCAGAGAAAATGTATAATAATAAGTAAACACATACATATGTGTGAAACAGAATATCTCATTTAGCTAATGAAGTATAAGAATATTCAAAACTATTCAACATCAACCAAAACAAAGACTATCCTAAACAACTTACCAAGCTATTGATCCATACCTCTCCTAAAAAATGTTAGTTTGCGAGAGTTTTTTAAAATTTCCGCAAAATAATCTCCACTGAATAATAGTTTTTTAGTGATTTTCAGTGTTCTTTGTTCAAGTTTTCAGCTACTAACTTTTGTCTGTGTTTCCAATTATATAATATATATTCTAAACATTCTGTTGTCAGTTTGTTTTTACATTTTTGGTTCTGATAAGTTAGCTTATTTTTAATTTTTAGTTAGGATAATGGCTTGATGAAGTTTTTGAATGACGCAAAAGTTGTTAAGATAGTAGAAGTTGGTCAAGCAGGATGGCTATTACAAAATGAGAAAAAGAAGAACATTGTGCCTTATAGCTCTAAAGATTGAATTGATTCATAGACTAGCTTCTACAGGGTTTATCTCTTCGATAAAAGTCATTCAAGCTTGGTAAAGCAGACTGTAGTGTAAGAGATGAAAGAAGAGAGGAAGAGAGATACTATTATGTATATATATTTAAATCATGCACCAGTTAGAAAAAATAAGCCAACACTTATGCACGTAAGAAAAATATATCTTACTTACACATCAAAGTGCTTCATTCAAGACATATTTTTCGTGTGATTAGATGATCAACAACGTTATTTTATTTGGAATTTTTTCCAACATTGAACCAGTTTTCAAACTACATTTTAATGGTCTAGCAATATAATATCATAGCACGGCATAAATTATAAGGAACTTGATAACAACGAAAAAATTAACTGGAAGGCACTCACTCAAGAATTTTCAGCATCACTAAAAAAATAAGCATGCATAACTTTTTTTAATTAATTTTTTCTTATTTTAATTAATAATATCTACGTCACCCCTTCTAGATCATTTATTTTTTTCAAGGTTTTACAATTTCTCTACTAAAACACAACGAGTTCGACACCCAAATAGGGATAGCTTGGTATAACAAACACTAAATCTAAAGATGTAATGTTTTATAAATATTTATTTATTTCATATCCCACCTAACTTTTTTATTTGTATTCAATAGTGTACTTTCAATTTATATTTTGATTCTTAATAATTTGGACTTATTTTGTTAGAATATATTATTCTGAGTCATTAGAACTATAGAGTACATTGTATTGAGGTGGGTATATGGTTGAAGGAGCTAGTGGATGACTAGTTTAAAAAAGAAATAGATGGTACATGGTGTCAAGAATCACAATTAACACTCCTTCATATTTTTTTT